CTTCCTCCTCCTATTTCCCTCCCTCCCTCCCTCCCTCCCTCCCTCCCTCCTTCTCTCTCTCTCTCTCTGTCCATCCTCCTCTTTTTCCTCCTCCTCCTCCTCCTCCTCCTCCCCATCCTCCTCCTCCGTTTCCTTCTCCTCCAGATATGCAAGAACTACCGGGGCGGCAGCGCAGTGCCTGTGGCAGCAGTGCGCGGAGCCGCGTCGCGCTCGGAGCTGGAGCGCAGCGACGCGGATCTGGTCAGGGACGTTGACGTGGCGGGCGAGGCCGCGGCTCCAGGCGGGGGAGGTGGGCGACTCAAATAGCCGAGGGCAACAGGGACGCCAAGGAGAAGGACGCTACATTCGACCCGTATCGTAAGGATGCGCGATAAGGATACAAAGGGCCTTGGGCGTCTATGTCGATGCTTTTCGAGTTGGGAGCGGCCAGCGACATTGGCCAAGGATGGACCGAGGAGGCAAGGAAGCAAGGGTACCCTTGGGAATGTTGCCCATCCTTACCATGCGGCTTGACTGTAGGGCAGCCGTGCAGGTGATGGCGGAGGCGGTCTCCGACCTCTAGAGGCAGCTGGAGGCTGCAGACCATGCCCGTGAGGTGGCCCTGGCGACGGCCTGCGATCCTGGGATCAAGACCCAGTCGTGGCGCTACTGTGAGGAACGCCCAATGAGGAATAGCAGGTTCCTTCTGGACACGGCGAGCCACGGCCACGAACAGGTTCTGCGACCTCAATCTAAGAAACGGCACGAATACCAGAGTTCCTCATGAACCCAAAGTGGTCCTTCTATCAGCGTCTTGGCTGTGATACCCAAGGGATCACGGCCCAGACCTGTGAGTTCAAACAACAGAACGCGCGAACCTCGCATGTCGTTGCACAGCTCGTCGGCAAGCCAGCGGAGCCGGTGCCTCTTTGGACGTATCCCCCCCATCCTCTTCAAGGGTTGACGACAGAGGCGGCCCTACAATTGCGTTATGCTGTCCGTTGGCTTCGGCTCTCAGCAAGGTCGCTCGCGGAGTTGCGCCACCAGTGCCAACAGGAAACAATATCTACCAACATGATCACCCTTCCTCCTTAACCTCCTCCCTATTCTGCTTCTCCGTGTCCCCCCCCGTCCTCATCCTCTTCCTCCGCCTCTTTGCCTTTGTCTTCCCTCCTCCTCCTCCTCCTCCTCCTCCTCCTCCTCCTCCTCCCCCGCCTCCTCCCCCTCCTCCTCCTCCTCCCCCTCCTCCTCCTCCTCCTCCTCCTCCTCCTCCTCCTTCGCTCTTCGTCGGCACCGCAGGCCTCCTCCTTCGCTCTTCGTCGGCACCGCAGGATGTCAAGCTGTGCGCGCTGCTTCCCGCAGCCCCGGGCCCTGCGCGGGCGGCCGGGCGGCTGCAGCGCCCGGGCAGGTGCCGGCGCTTCGCCCCTCGGCTTGCGAGATGCGCCGGGTCCTTGGACTAGCCATCGCTCGGACGTCCATTCCCTGTGTTTTTTTTTCGGTTTCGTGCGTGGCTTTCTCGCCAAATGATCAAGGATGCTCCTCGATGGTCCTCGTCGGGGGAAAAATGCACACGTCCGAGCGATGCCAAGTGGAGCCACCAGGCCGCGCCGGCCGCCCTCCGCGGCGAGTGCCGCGCCCGCCGCCGCTCCTGCCGCAGTGTCGGCGCGCGGTCCCCGAGGAGCGGGGGAGCGCTACGGTGAGGGGCTCGACCACAAGACAGAACCTTCCGCAGGGAGCCCAGCCCTGAGACTCCAGGACGTCCATGGGTTCTTGGGTGCGGGAGCGTCACGCGCTCCATGGCAAAGCCACCGAAGCCCGAGAAGCTCAGGGCATCATGGAGGCAAGCAGGGTGCTTCTTGGCATGGGCTTCCACTGTGCAGTGAGGGGCACGGGTCGGAGGGGACTGGCTCTGGGGTGGAAGCGCCGACCTGGCATCCGCGATGTACGTCGATGGATGGCGGAGCCACGCGCTCCTGGGCGGGGTGGGCCATCCCGTCGCCATCGGCGATGCCTGGGCGACGGGGGGTCGATGCGTCACGTGCGTCCCCGCCCGAGCTGCGCCCCTCCCCCCTGGGACTCCAGAAGGCCGTGACAGAGGCCGCCCGAAAGAGCAGGCTGGCGGCAAAGCGGCCGCGGGGCACTGCGGCGTGTCGTCAGCACTGCGGCCCCGCGGGAGGGCCTCGGCAGCGAGCGAGGGGGGGAAGCGAGAAGGAGAAGGCCTTCTCAGGAGGCGGGTGGGCCTCTCAGAAGCCCTCCGGCCTCCTCAGCAATCTTCTGCACCTTCGGGGGAAGCCTAGAAGACGTCCCCGGAGGCCGGAGGACTTCCGAGCCTTCCGAGAAGGCCCGCCCCCTCTCGCTCACCCCTCGGGCGCGCCGCCGATGCTGGGTGCCGTCGAAGGGGCGGGCGAAGGAAGATGCCCCGGGGGTCGGCGGAAGAGGCCCGGCCGCCTCCTTCCCAGGTCTTCGGGACACGGCGGCATTCGCACCTCGTCCCCGTCGTTTCGGTGCCTGTGTTTTTTGGTTCGACAGGCACAACCATTTGGCGACACCTGTGGCCATCTACCGCGACACGCCATATACACATATATATATATATATATATATATAGTAGTTTAACCGACGTTCCGAATGATGGTACTCGGGCAAGCTTGGTCGACTGATGTTTGGAAGATAGTATGTGCACGAACTGAGTGGCGCCATCGAGCGTCACCGCCTCGTCAGCACAATCTGAAACCAAGTGGTGGAAATCCACCCCTCAGAATCCACCCCGACAGGGCGGAAATACCCCTCCCTGCCCCCCCCCACACAGACGCTCAACACACAACAGACAACGCACACAACGCTCACAGCAATCAACACAAGAAAAAACTCACAGACAACGCAATCCACACAATGCGCACAGCACAAATCACACAACATAAAACACACCAAACACACACACACACGTGTACGCAAACGCAAGCAACGCACCATATAACACAAGACAACACAACGGGGCACACCGCTGCACAACACGCACGACACACACACAACACACACACACAACACACGCGCACACGCAGCGCGCACCCACACGGACACACAACACGCAACACATCGCCACACCACGCAGCACACCGTACCACACCGCCACACCGCACATCCCTCCTCGTCCCTCCTCGCTCTCCGTGCCCCTCCCGGGGCGAAGGCCTGGATGCGAGCCTGCCGCTGACTGGGGCGGTGGCGGCGCCGGCGGCGCCCAGCGTGCCGACTTCGGCCGAGACCGCCTGGGCCTTCGTGGGCTTCCTCCCCACCCTCTCCGGGGAATTGTCGGCCCTCTTGATGAACTGGATGGCCTGGAGCTGGCCATCGCTCGGACGTCCATTCCCTGTGTTTTTTTCGACTTCGTGCGTGTTTTTTTCGCCAAATGGTCAAGGATGCTCCTCGATGGTCCTCGCCGATGGAAACATGCACACGCACGTCCGAGCGATGCCGAAGGAGAGGTCACGATTCGCGGGACGTCGTGCAGAATGACGCGTGGATGCCGTGAGTGTGACTCGTTGTAGGTGGGCTCTGTCAGCGCGTGTCCGTGCTGGAGTCGACGGTGCCGCCCGTGCCGACCGCACCCGTACTCGGATTTTCTCGAGCTGGATCGATCCGTGATGGTCCGGGGGCCTGCGCCCGCACATGAGCGCCCGGCTTATTTTTCCACCACGCCCAGGTCAGGGGCTAGTTACGTCTTCCCAAATCAAGTGCCGTCCGCGCCCTCCGCCCTTCTGACCTTCGAAACCTGTCTGAGAAACGCGCTCTGCCCTCCAGACCTGCTGGGCCTGGCGGAACGCGCTCCGACCTTGATGTCGAAGCGAATCAGGTCGTGGCGGCGAGGTCCCCCCCCCAGGAGTCGGAAAGGGAGGCAGCGCAGACATCATGATCATCTTGCTACTCCCGCTCCTCCTCCTGCTCTCTTCTCTGCCTTCGCGCGCGCTCGGACGCGCGCGATGGGAGAGAAGAGGAGGATGAGGATGAGGATGAGGATGAGGATGAGGATGATGATGATGATGATGATGATGATGATGATGATGATGATGATGATGATGACGATGAGGAGGAGGAGGAGGAGGAGGAGGAGGAGGAGGAGCAGGAGCAGGAGCAGGAGCAGGAGGAGGAGAAGAAGGCGGCGGAGGAGGAGGCGGACGCACGATGGAGAAGGATGAGCCTGCGTCGGGTAAGCAGGTAAAAAGGGGTCGAGATAAGTGAACTCGTGAGTTCACTGATCCTCCTCCTCCTCCTCCTCCTCGTCCTCCTCTTCCTCCTCCTCTCCTCCTCCTCCTTCGCTCCCCTCCTCTCTCTCGCATCCGCTCCTCCTTCTTTCTTCATCTCGTGAATGATCTCTCCCCTCCTCCTCACCTCCTCCTCTCCTCCTCCCCCTCCTCCTCTCCTCATCCTCCTTCTCCTCCTTGTCTTCCTCCTCCTCCTCCTTCTCCTCCTCCTCCTCCTCCTCCTCCCTCTCTCCTCTTCGTCGTCCCCCTCGTCCTCCAGTAAGCAGTGGACCAAGATGTTTCACTTAATGATTTTGTCTGCCTGGGTTTCCTGGCTGATCTCTCTTGGATGGGCCCCAAAGCTACCCGCCAAGAGGCCTCCAAGAGGCCCCATAATCAGTGAACTCGCTAGTTCTCTGATTCTGGAGCCTCCAAACTACCCCGCAAGAGGCCCCCACGAGGCCTCAAAACTACACCCCACGAGGCCCCCACCAGGCCCCAAACTACCCCTCAGGAGGCCCACAAAAGGTCCCAAAACTACCGCCCAAGAGATTAGTGAACTCGCTGGTTTACTGATTTTGGACTTCGGTTTTCGAAGAATCTGTGAACTCGCCAGTTCACTGATTCTGGACTTCGGTTTTGCAGAGAATCAGTGAACTCACCACTTCACTGATTTTGCACTTCGGTTTTCAGGGAACCAGTGAACTCGCTGGTTCACTGATTCTGGACTTCAGTTTTCAGAACATCAACGAACTCGCTAGTTCACTAATTCTGGACTTCGGTTTCCAGAGAATCAGTGAACTCGCTAGTTCACTGATCTGAACTTCTGGGTTCACTGATTTTCGACACCCACCCTCCCTCCCTCACTCCACAATGCCTCAACCATCAATCTAGTAGGAGTGCTTCTCTGCCGTCTCCCCTGGCTCTGTGCAGAAACTCTCCCGCCCTCTCCGCAGATGGCTCCTTTGCACACGAGATTGGCACCATCGGTATTACAACCATTTTCCCAAAAAACACAAACTGCTCCGGTGGTTTTCGGTCCTTCCAGCGGTGCTGCCGCTGTAGCAATGGTCCAATTCCTTACTTCAGGATCGGCGCTTGGCGCCCGTCACTCAGAAATGGCAGTCGCGCCACAGCGCGGGCCACTCCTCTGCAGCCGAGCCCCTTCCGCATCGCTGCCGCCCCGCTCCCTTCCCCCCTTTCCGCTCTGCCCTGGTCCTCCTGCTCCTCCTCCTTCCTTTCTCTCCAGCTTCTGCTGCTGCTGCTGCTGCTGCTGCTGTTCGTCCTTGTCCTCCTCCTCTCCCTCCTCCTCCTCCTCCTCCTCCTCCTCCTCCTCCTCCTCCGCCTTCCGTTCCTCCTGCTCATCCGCCATCTTCAACTCTGTTGTGCGCACCTCCCTTTCTCTGATTGCGCATGGCACGATGGGATCATTCCCAACCATCCTGTGGTGTTGGGTCCTCGTTTTGAAGAGACAACGCCCCGCGTCCCTCACTCACTCCTCCTCCCCCTCCTCCCTCCCCCCCTCCGCGTCAGCCACACCCACTTCGGCACACACCCTCACACGTTTCGTGGCCCCATAGGGAGCTCCGCCGAAGGCCCCAGTGCTGCCGCCCGCATGCGTCACGCACACCAATTCGGCACACCCCTCACACGTTTTCGTGGCCCCATAGGGAGGCTCCGCCGGAAGGCCCCTCCCTGTGCTGCCGCCCGCATGCGTTCACGCACACCCAATTCGGCACCACACCCCCACCCCCTCAAACGTGCGTGGCCCCACCCATAGGGAGCTCCAGCCGAAGGCCCCAGTGCTGCCGCCCGCATGCGTCCCGCACACCCAATTCGGCACACCCATCAACGTGTTTCGTGGCCCCATAGGGAGGAGCTCCGCCGAAGGCCCCAGTGCTGCCGCCCGCATGCGTCCCGCACACCCAATTCGGCACACCCCTCACACGTTTCGTGGCCCCATAGGAGCTCCGCCGAAGGCCCCAGTGCTGCCGCCCGCATGCGTCACCGCACACCCAATTCGGCACACCCCTCACACGTTTCGTGGCCCCATAGGGAGCTCCGCCGAAGGCCCCAGTGCTGCCGCCCGCAACCCACACCAATTCGGCACACCCCTTACACGTTTCGTGGCCCCATAGGGAACTCCCGAAGGCACCAGTGCTGCCGCCCGCATGCGTCACGCACACCCACTTCGGCACACCCCTCACACGTGTCGTGGCCCCAAAGGGAGCTCCACCGAAGGTCCTGGTGGGTGTGCCCGCATGCGTCACGCACACCCAATTCGGCACACCCCTCACACGTTTCGTGGCCCCATAGGGAGCGCCACCGAAGGCCCCACCCAGTGCTGCCGCCCGCATGCGTCACGCACACCCAATTCGGCACATCCCTCACACGTGTCGTGGCCTCATAGGGAGCTCCGCCGAAGGTCCCAGTGGGTGTGCCCGCATGCGTCCTGCACACCCATTTCGGCATACGCTTCACACGTTTCGTGGCCCCATAGGGAGCTCCACCGAAGGCCCCAGTGGGTGTGCGCGCATGCGTCTCGCACACCCATGTCGGCACACCCCTCACGCGTTTCGTGACACCTCACACGTTTCGTGGTCCCATAGGGAGCTCCACCGAAGACCGCAGTGGGTGTGCCCGCATGCGTCCCGCACACCCATTTCGGCACACCCCTCGCACGTTTCGTGGCCCCGTAGGGGGCTCCACCGAAGGTCCCAGCGGGTGTGCCCGCATGCGTCCCGCACACCCATTTCGGCACACCCCTCACACGCTTCGTGGCCCCATAAGGAGGCCACCGAAGGTCCCAGTGGGTGTGCCCGCATGCGTCCCGCACACCCATTTCGGCACACCCCTCACACGTTTCGTGGCCCCATAGGGAGCGCCACCGAAGAAGATATTCACAATTCCGGTACTCACAATTGCCTATGGTTGGGTCCTTCGCCAGGATAATGTTTGGAATTCCAGGTCAGCTATGGCACGCGTCGGCGGATAGAGAATACTCAGCACAATGGGAAGGAATGGGTGGATGGGGGGGGGGTAGGATGTCAGATATGGCGCGTGCGCACCTAGCTTGTCTCCCCGCCCTCTTCCTCCTTCTCCTTCTCCTCCTCCTCCTCCTCCTCCTCCTCCTCCTCCTCCTCCTCCTCCTCCTCTTGCTCCTCCTCCTCCTCCTCCTCCTCCTTCCCCTCCTCCTCCTCCTCTTCCTCCTCCCTCTGTCTCCCGCTTGACGATGCAGGCCTTGAGGGACTTCCGCGCCATGCTGTTGGCGGCCGGCGCGGAGGCGGCTCCGAGATCGGCAGGGTCGGCCGTGGTGGACTTCCGCCCGATCATCAGGGACTTTTTCTCGGCAGTCCTCGTGGGGGCAAGAGGGGGGGTACGGGGCGTGAACACGACTACAGCCACTGCTTTTCTTTTGTTGCCGCCTTCCAGCCAGCAGAAACAAAGCAGTGGTTGTGGTCATTTTCGTTAGGCTTGGCACCAGGGAAATGACCACAACCACTGCTTCTTTTTCGGCCGGCTGGAAGGCGGCGCAAACAAGAAGCAATGGCTGTGGTCACTTTCCCGTCCCGCAGGGGGGGAGGAGGGACCCACACCTTGCGCGTCACAGGCAGGTCGTGGCAGCCAGGTCTCCCACATTGCGGGAGCTCCGAGAGGCTCGCCCGTGGCCCGGTGGGCCGGGACGGGAAGGCCGTCCCCCGGGAGGGGTTCGGCAGGTCTGGGGCGCAATTTTAGGATCGAGGGTTCCTGGGCGTCACCCTACGACAAGCATCATAATGCTGGATGTTTGGGGGGGGTCGAGGGGGAGGAGGACAGGCTAGGTGTGCTCGCGCCATGCCTGACATCATCCAACCCTTCCCGCCCATCTCTTGGCTGTTTTGTGATATATCTGCCGACGGGTGTCGTAGCGCACGTTGCCCCGCCAAGAGGAACCCCATTGTGTCATGTGCAATCACGAAAGGAGATCTGCGTACATTGGGGGAGGAGACACCGGGTGAGCAGGAGGATGAGCAGGAGGAAGAGGACGATGAGGAAGGAGACGGACATGGGGAACAGCACGCAGCAGCAGCAGCAGCAGCAGCAGCAGGAGCAGGAGTTCGAGAAGCGGGAGGAGCAGGATGACAAGGGGAAGGCGGGGGATGGAAAAGGAGCGGGGCGCCAACAATGAGGCAGCACCCGGATCCAGAAACGTGGCCAGCGCTATGGCGAGAGCGCCATTCTGAACGGGAGGCAGGGTGCCGATAATCTCCAATCATGAAGCCGCTGCAGCGGGAACACCCGTTTGAGACATCGCAAACGCTCCGAGTCAAAGAAAGCCATCCGAAAGACCAACTTTTGAACCCTGGCGGACAACAAAAACAACACTACGCACAGGGTTGCGGATGCCATGACAATGGACACTCTATCAATCCTACCATTGAATTAAAGAGCATGTATAACACATGTTCTAAAACTGTTTCAGACATTTTTTAAATATATTTTAAACATGCTTGAAACATCTTTTAGACATCTGGAAATTCTTTGGCAGCATGCTTCCTCTCCATTAATCGACTTCCGCAAGCGCAAGGGAGCGGGCCACTCCCTGGCTGATCGGAACATGCGCGACAATTCGGGCCGCATCGACACGGGATGCACAACCGCGCCATTGAAACATCGGGCCTCGTCATCTGAATCGAATTGGGTCGGGCTGGCCGAAATCGATATCGACTGGATCGATCGCATCGAAATGGGCCCCAGAAATGGAGAAACCGGGGGAAGCGGAAGACTTCCTCTCGCGCGCGCCGCGGGGAGGGGGGGGAGCCGGAGCCAATGCCTGACGCAGCCAGGGACCTCCGAGCTGTGAAACTCAGCCGCTGGATGCGGCAAGCTTAGATGCTGCTCCATCTGGCGGGAGCCTGGATCGGTCTGAGGGTGGCCCAGCGGAGGCCAAGGCCTGGGACACCCTTTCTGGGACCCACTCGTCAGGAGGAAGATGCCACAAATACTCAAGCTGGGTACGCTTAGACACGCCTCGTCTCTCCTCCTGGTCCTCCCTCCCTCATTCCGCCTGCACCCCCTCTTCGTCCTCTTGCTGCTCATCCTCTTCCTCCTCATGCTTCACCCCTGTGATCATCCTCATCCCTTCTCCTGCCTCCCCTCCTCCTCCCTGTTTGCTATCGTCGTGCTCCTCCACCTCCTCCTCCTCCTCATCTTCCTCCTTCCTCCTGTCTCCCTTTTCTCTTCCTAATGATTCCTCCTTCTTCCTCCTTCCCCCTTCTTATCATCTATAACTTTCCTCACCTTACCTCATCTTCTTTCGTCGTCTTTGGTGTCGTCGTCCACTGGATCCTCCGCGTCCTCCCCGTCCCTCCTACTCCTCCTCCTCCTGCTCCTCCTCCTCCCCATTCCTGTCCTCCTTCAATTCCCCCTGCTCCCCCTTTTTATCCTGCCGCCTCGTGTCCTCACGGAGTCCCTCACGGACACCACCTTGCGAAGCGTCCTGTATGGTGGCAGGATCCGCCTGCCGGCGGGGGAATGGTCGCTCTCGAGCTGCATCCTTTGGCCGAAAGCTGGGGAGGAGGCGGCGGCGGAGGAGAACATCAGGGAGGATGAGGAGGAGGAGGAGGAGGAGGAGGAGGAGGGAAAGGAGGATGATAATAATCATATATTCGTTTGCGTTGCATCTTGGCTTGGACACGAAGACGTACCAATTCCCACACACGACGGATGGGCCTACACCACACGGCAGAGCCACATCATCATCGCATACCTAGACGTACTTTCCACAAGTGCGCCAACGACTTGCCGACACACACATATTACAACGCTGGAAGCACATGCACTACCATGACATTATCGCCAACCATTGGGCACTACGACCATGCGACATTCCGTGCTACAGGCCACTGCCAAAATGTGACGGTCACCCCCTCGTGCAGGGACAAGAAACACGCGAACACGACATTCAGCACCTGACCGTCATCTCCTTACCATGACACGAGCTTGCGGGAGACATAGCAGCAACACGCGCCCGACTCGAGTACGCCTGGTACAGCAACGACGGCACCGGGCGAGACATCACGGAGACCCTCTGCCAGATCTACATCCAACGAATCAGCAAGCGGTACGACTTCGCCCTGGACGAGCACAGACGTCCAGATACGATACGCCCACACTCATAGAATAACCGCTTCATCTGCTCAGTGGTCATCGGCAGTGACAATATCGACGCGGGCTCGGAGCGGATCTCACTGACTAACCTACTAGCGGACTCACTGCACACTTGTGGAACAACACCAAGGCCGGGCTAACGGCGATTTTGCTTAACGGTGATGTTGGGAACCACAGTGAAGGAAATCACGAACCACACTTTTCTACACTCCCAGTCTGCGAATGGACCGAGCGAGCACGACACGGCGAATTGTAGGAAAGCGCGAGCCACGCGTTTCCACAATACCGAAACCTACATCGCCGCTACCTACATCGCCGTTAGCCCGTCTACGGCAACAACAACACTTCACCCACCATGGGCCACTTGGATTCTTGACGCGACGCACCGGCACGTCAGTCCACTTACTACACACGGGCAGCCTCAATGTGTCGAGGCCCGCACGACCCCCGCCTACAGCGTACAACGGCTCAACCAACAGAGAGGCACAGTGACGCAACTTCCCCCGTCTGCGCAACCCAACACGCCACCGACACGGTTCGAACTGCCCACACCAACTCCAGCCAATCCGAAGTGGTCGCCCACGAAATGGCCACTCGAACCCACGACCATCCATCGAACCCATCCCCATCACCCTACAATCCCAATGATACCATCGATGCGCACGATCGAAATTTTATGATACACCATGCTCGACAAACATCCGTGTACAAGAAAGCAGCCGTGCAGAGGAAATGAGGCAAACAACAGGGGAGCGCTGAAATAAACATTGTGCTGTCCATTTAACCATGCAGGCTGACAAGGAAGCAACTATACCTAGAGGGAGAAGGTGAGCAGAGGGGCACTCGAATCAGTGTAATGCCTAACGAACCGCCTTTCGTGTGCTGAATTTTTGTTGGGGGAACTTGCGTGTCGATTTGCATGTCGGTTGCGACTTACGGCCCGAGAGGCATGTCGATCGCATTTCGATTGCATGTAGATTTGCACATCGAACTGCATTTCGATCTGCATATTGATAATGGGTCGACCTATATTTGCGATGTGCCTTCCGATCTACATGTTCATGTATACCGACTTGTATTTTATGTGCGTGCCGAATTGCATGCCGCTGCGATTTTCGACCCGCAGCCCGGTTTCAATGTAGATTTATATGTCGATGCTCATGCCAATGTGCCTTCATATCAGCAGGAGGAGGAAGAGGAGGACGAGGGGGAGGAGGAGAACGCCTTCTCAGCTTCCTCGGCCTGGAGCCTCTTGGCCTCGAGGTGCTTGGAGAAGCTCGTCGCTGAGGCGCTACTCTCGCAGGGCGAGGCTCGGAGCTTCGGTCTGCTATCCGATGGGAATGTCCCCCCCGCCGGCTTTGCCTGATGGGCTCCTGCTCTGTCTGTGAAGCAACCGTGGGTGCGGTCGCCGGTCTGCGCCCCTCGGTCCCGCTTGGTCTCCGACGAGGGCGAGGAGGGCGAGGAGGAGGGCGAGGAGGAGGGCGAGGAGGAGGGCGAGGAGGAGGGCGAGGAGGGGGAGGGCGAGGAGGAGGGCGAGGAGGAGGACGAGGAGGAGGAGGAGGAGGAGGAGGAGGAGGAGGAGGAGGAGGAGGAGGAAGGAGGAGGGCGGAGGAGGGGGAGGAGGGCGGAGGAGGGGGAGGAGGAGGAGGAGGAGGAGGGCGACCCACAGGGCGTTGTCTGGGCTCCTTCTGGCCTCCTCGGGCCTGGCTCCTCCGTCTGCCCTGGCTCCCTGGCGCCCTTGGCGCCCTTGGCTCCCTTGGCTCCCTTGGCGCCCTGGCTCCTGGGCCTCGCCTCTCCGCGGTTCCTTCTGGCCTCGGCTCGTGGGTTCCTTGGCTCCCTGGCCTCGGCTCCGCGGGGGCTGCTCGCCTCCTCGCCTCCTCGGCCTCCTTGGCTCCTCGGCTCCTCGGTTTCTCGTTTCCTCGGTGCCCTGCTCTTTGCTCCTTGCCTGGCGGTGCTTGGCAATGCCACGACACGCCACGCAGTGCAAGCCAATGCCAAGCCTCGCCAAGCATTGCCACGCATTGACAAGCAGAGCAAAGCAGTGCAAACCAATGCCTTACCTGCCTAGTTATTCGATTAGGAAGCTTTTCCTCACTTCGATCTGTTTTCTAACTGGGCTTTCAGTTTCATCCG